TGGTTATTCGCTCGAGCCGGGGTTTTGAGGCAAAATTTTGTAGTAAACACAAGTTTCCCGTAAGTCATCTCATAACAGTTTTGAACAACATAAAATCAAGAAAGTTTTCACAAACTCATGTAAGTTATCTCACAAAAATGCGTAAATAACACAAATTCGAGCAAGTCATTTGACAAAATTTTGACCAACACCAAATCAAATAAGTATTCACAAACTCACGTAAGTGATCTCACAAAAATGCATAACTTAACACAAATTTCCCATAAGTCATCTCATAAAAGTTTTGAACACCACAATAAACTAAGTTTTCACAAACTCACATAAGTGATCTCACAAAAATGCGTAAGTAACACAAATTCTCAAACTAATAGCATATAATGAACAACTGAAATTCTCAAACTGACACAAATTATACTAATATTTGATAACTAATACTAATTTAACCAATGAATTATTTTTTTTAAATAACAATTACTATGTTCTTAATAGTTTATATTTAATAATTAATGCTTATTACATGTAAGACAAATTTTAATTAAACAACATTAACACTTGGGTAATTAGTAAATTGTGATTAACAATTTTCATAAGAATTCGCTTAAAAGGCATAATATATACCTTAGTTAAGTAATGATACATGAATTGGAGATGATGCATGGGTTCTAATGCCATGTATCCTATCATAATATTGGTAGCCACCAGCATTGTAAAGACCCAATATCACTTTTCTACAAGTCAGCAAAATTTGTTAACTAATCGATTACACATCTAAGACCATCTCCAATGGTGAACCAAATTCAGTATCAAATTTGAATTTGATGAAAAAAGTCACTTTTTTTGCTCCAATGGTTTCACCAAACCAATATCAAACTGAGAACGGAGCAAATTTTTCATCAAATTGAGAATCTGCGTGAGCCTTCACCAATTCACTGTGCTGTAACGTTGCAAGTGGGGCCACGATCAACCTGTTGGACGTCCGGCCGGTTGACCAATCGATCGACCGGTAAAAGGTTCAAACAGTTCAAATATTCAGGTTCAAACAAGTAAAAAAAAAAAAAATATTTGCCTTACCGGTCGACCGGCTGGTCGACCCCTGCCTTTGATGACAACCATTAGAGCAGCTTGTATCATATTGAGAAAATGGTCCTTTTTTTACTCAGATTTGATGAAAAAAAAGGTTAACCATTGGAGATGCTCTAAAATTTTGTAAAAACATCAATTAACTAATTGATTGGAAGAATTGGACACACTCCAATCGATTGTCCAATGGATTGGATGGCTTTGCCAACTTAATCCATTCACCAATTGATTGGAAGGTTTGTCCACCACCAAGAGAGTCTTGTTATAATGAAGAAGGATTTGTCAAGATGGTAAAACCAAACAAAATTAAATTCAAATTTATGAATAAGGAATAGGAAATCTGAAACAATTAAAGCGTACCTTGCGTGGAGTATCCATTTTTGGATGATCATGCTCCTTTGAGTTTTCATTCATGTGATAATGCACACCTCATTTTCTAGTTGAAACATTATGTCTAACAATTGGTAGGCAACAAAAAAGAACGAAAATTGAAATCAATGTTAACGGGCAAATCTAACTAAAATTAAATCCAAGGCTCATTAAATAAAATTAATTGGACTATTTTTTTTAAAACAAAGATTACAACCAAATGCTTATAAAAGATACTTACCACAAATGAAAGAGAATGAAACTGAATTAAACATAATTAAGTAGAGAAAAAGAATAGTCAAATAGAGAGTGAGAAAAACATAATTAATGCTCCAAATGGTATAAATACAGTAGTTACCCCTGTCCAATTATTTTCAAATCAAGCTCAGGCACAACGAAGCCCTAGATGAAGCCCTCGCTATTACCCCTTTGCAATTGTCGAGCTGGAGGTGCTACAGCGGTGATTGAGAGGGGCTACATCAGTGGCTGAAAAGAGCGAGCAATTAAGAAGAGATGGAAAGAGAAATTCATATAGAAAATCTGTTGAGGGCTCCAAAATTTAGCTATTAAATCCAATCTCAAATCATATGGAAAATCACAATTATTTTATGATAACAAAGTTCAACCCAAACATAACTAAACCAAGAACTATAGTCATCTTTCATGGATAACAAAGCACTGCATATAGTCCAAAACATGAAAGCTACATTTCCACAACACCCCCATTTAGAAGAAAGAAAGATTAGGGGGGTAAGGAATGCCTAACTCAGGGAAAAACTAATCTAGTGGAGGAAGCAAATCAAAACCTAGAAGAAACACATACACACAAAAAAAAAAAAAAAAAAAAAAAAAAAAAAAAAAAGAAAAAAAAGGAAAGATTTTGCACAATACAGGAGAGATAAAACAAACAATAGCAGCAAAATCAATGAAACAAAGTGTAAAAACATTTTATATTAGGGGCAAAAAAAGGGACCTTTCTTTTCACTTTTGATATCATTTTCATATCACTTGATTTGGGCTCACAACGAATTTTAGAAGCTTCATCATCAATATCAAATGCACCATAATAGCTGTAAATGGCTGCTCACACTTATTTTCTATTGTAATTGAAGTTTAGTGCTACAATATCAAAACAAAACACATTAGAGAAAGAGAGATTGGGAGAGAGTAGTGAATGGCTTGAAAGGCTCATATATTGTAGAACGAAAAGGAAAAAAATATTATAAGGCAAACTCACATTAGGAATTTTAGGATGGTTCTTTCCCTCCTCTACATGGAGCTGCAATGGAGCATTTTCCTTCAAAACAAAGGTGCTGGATACTAGATCTAAAAGGGTCAGATTAGCATAAATTCCATTAAAACCACAAAAAGAAACGATACTTGAAAAAAAATGAAGAAAAATAAAATTTAAAGCCACACAACAAAACAGAATCACAAAACAATAATTAAAAAAATAAAATCTAAGATCAAAACAAATTTTACAATCAGACTTGAACTACAAAATAAAATTCACTGCCACAAAATAGATTTTATAAACAGATTTACAATCTATAATCAAAATTGAATTCCCTGTCACCAAAAAAAAAAATCCTTCAATGCCTTACTAATCTAGGATAATTGTTGGAGACATCCATAGAATTCACTGCCACCATTGCCTTGTTGAACTCAATAAACAATTAGACAAGAGTTTTTTTTTTTAAAGGAAAAAAAAAACAACAAACACACTCTAGAAATCTGTTTATTTGTTTAATAAACTCAAGAAACATGTTGCCACATTACACCTTCTCTCACAACCCTTGCAATTTACACATTCAATTTTAAAATAGGGTAAGTTAAATATGCACCATTAATAGTTCCATCTTAATGTGTTTGCAATATTCAAAAATCAAACCCAACAAAGTATAATAAATTATAGAAACATAAATCAAACAATTTCATAGAAAAATACTTTTCTCATATCATAGTAACCTATTTCACATAAATCAGACAATTGCAACCCATTTCATTTTCAAATAAATGAAATCAAAACCATAAAGAAACAAATAATTCTGCCCAACTTCTCTGCACTACTCTGTTAGTTATCCATAAAGATACCCAATTTTTTTTTTTTTTAATCAACACCACACAAACAAACATGCTACAAAGAGGTTACAAAGTTACTGATTGAAATGCATGAAAGTAAAAGTAAAGGAATACCAAAATCAAAGTGGTTCACAATTCTCTGCAACTACTCTCAGTTATCTACAAAGAAATTAAAAAAAAAAAAAAAAATCAATCAACACTTCATATAATCCAAAAAGTAGTATATACAACTGCTTATAACAAGTCTACTTCATTCAATTCTTAGCTCAGAACTTTATCTATTATTATGTGATGTGAAATTTCTCAAGCTTTAAATGTTGAAATGAACTACAATCTTCAAATCAACAATTCAAAAGGAAAAGTATTTCTCAAGCATTCAACTTTAGCCAACAGAGACATGAGCACACATATTAAACAAATAAGAAACTCAACCAATTGGAATTCAAAAATGAAACTTGTAATAGAAGAGACATGAAACAGAAATGTGATTGAGTTCATGTCCAATCAGAATAAAAAATTAAACAAAACAATTCCACTATTATCAATACAAATATCAAACCTAGTATAATGTACCTGTTGTTCTGGAATTAATTCCTTCTGTTGAGAATGAAGGTCCTACATGGTATGAAAAAATTAGATGAGAAAGACCAAAGAACAATAGAATTGTGAATTTTACGTAGAATCAAAAGTTATTAACATCAATCCTTGCCAAGCATGCTCAGTGCAAAACACTCCTCGAATTACCAAATCTGGAAATTAACATATGCCCAGAACGAAATATGGTGGCTAAGAGAGAGAGAGAGAGATGGATTAGGGCACAATGGCAAGAAGCTAGAGAGGATGTAGAGGGACAACAAAAACAATGGAAAGCGGGCTTACTGGTGGGATTGGCCGGAGGTAGCGATGGGTCGTGCGAATGTGGGGACTGTGGTGACGGAGGGGGTTTCGCTGTATTCAGAGAGAAGGTGCCAACGATGGCGTGGTGCGGTGAAAGTGTGTGAGGTAGAGATTGCTAAGAGAGGGAGTCGATTTGTGATAAATTAGGGCAGAAAATAAGAACCAGAGAGAGAGAGAAATCAACTTATCTGGTGAGAATGAAATAGTCCAAGTTCATGAATCGGCGGTGTCAACTTTGGATTTCAGGCGGTACAACGGTGGGAATGGGATCAACAAAATCATCAGAATGATAGGAAGTAGTTGCGTGAGAGAGAGGGAGAGAAAGAGACATGAGAAACATGGAGGGACTTGGGGCAAAATTTGGAGGGTCCTAAATTTTGATTTGGAATTTTAAATTAAGATAGAATTTTGTGAAAAAATTTGTCCCTAATTTTTTTTTGTAGATATAAAAAATATGTTATGCTTGTTAAATTAAAATTTTTTAATTATTATTTATTGTTTATAATTTTTATTTTATTAGAGTTTTATGACTCAGTTTAAAAAATTAAAATTACACCAAATATAAAAATATAAAAAAAAATCATTTCGTTTTATTTTTTTGTATTTATATATTTTTTTAATAAAAATTTTACTTTTAAATTATATCTAGATTAACTGAATTTAAAAATTAAAATATTAATAAAATTCACTTAAAACAAAAAAAATGTATTGAAAATTCAAAAATAACTTTTATAATTCTAAAAAGTATTAGTTTTTCAAATTGAAATTAAAAAAAGATATATTATTTTTTATTGTCATAAATAAATAATTGAATATCCATAACGATTGTCCATCACCATACATGCTCTGTCTCATGATTGTCTATCGCTATTGTTGCAGTAATAAGATTTTAGATCTACCGACACTCATTTAGATCCATCACAAGCCTTTGTTTTTTTTTTTCTACCTTTCTCTTTATGTCTCTTTGTCTCTATTTTGTCAATAGAAAAATTAAAATTTATAGAGGCAATTGTCAAAGGGTTCAAAATATACTTTTCTCTTATTGAACTCGTGATTCTTCTGCAATTCTGCGTCATAGTAAGCCTCTCTTTCAGTATGCGAAAATGTCCCACACCCTCTGTATTATTTGACCTTCCTAAAGCTATCATGAAGTATCAATTTATTCCTCTCCACTAAAACTAGCATAAAGTCTCACTTTACCTCTCTCCCTCTGAAATTATCACAAAGTATTATTTTACTACCTAAACTATAAAATGATACAATTAAACCCTTCAATAAATATATTAATTTACCCATTATTCCGTATTTGGCAATTAATTTTATAAGTTCTACTCATTTACTATAAATTTCACTTACCTAATAGTTGAATTACACCTAAACATTAAGGTTAAATTTCACTATTTGAAGATAATGAAATTTCACTAGTTAAAGGTAATGAAATAATTAGTACTATCAAGTTTTAATTAAAACAATATTAAAATTTTGGTAATTACACACATTATAGAATTAATTAGGCAACAAATTAATTAAGAAAATTAAATTATCACTAGCTAATTAAAAATATAGTGAGAATCAGTTGTTGCTCCAATGAAACCACTAGTGACATCTCTATTTAATTCATAAATTTTCCATTTACTCGCTAGTTGCGTCTTTGCCTTTAATTCTATAATTTTTACTTCTTTAGTAGAAATTTCATCTTTTTTTTAATAATTTCACATAAATATTAAGGTTAAATTTCACTAGTTGAAATGATGGTATGTTTTATGATAACGATGACAATGATAATGAAAGTGTTAGTAATAGCAGTGGTGGCTTCATAATGGTGGTGACAATGACGGTGATGATGGTTGCAACAACATTAGTGATGATTGCAGCAATTGTGAGGTTATAATGATGTATGTTGATGTTTGTGTATAAATATTTATAAATTCAATTAGCATTAAATAATTATGTAATTTTATGTGAGAAATTTGTCATAATTTAAATGACTTTTATCCTACAAACTCAATTATAATTGGATTCAAATGGATTGAAGAAAGGGTACCGCCTCTTACACCAACACACCAAATTATGTGAATGGCTTGTAAATAATATATACTTTGCAAAAAAATATAAAAATTCTCATTTAGAATTATCTTGAAACTATGAAGCCTAGGTATGTCGACAAACATGACATACTTGTACCAAGTAGTTACCGAATTATAAAAAAATTTCACTCAATTTTAAAATTACCATTAGTTAATCAAGTCTATTGAAATTAATTAGAGTAATAAACTAGTCACACACTACAAGAAATTGCACATTTGGAAACTAAATTTTTAGTCGCAAAAAATCATTTTTAGTTGACGAATGTAATTCTCGATTAAATTATTTAGTCACCCAGTTGGTCGTTGACTAATTGTCGGGAAAAGTATTCGTGACTAAAATTATTTTAGTAGCCAATGAATACCATTCGGCGACTAATAATTTAGTCGCCATAAATTTTTCTATAAATTTAATTTGAACTTTTCCAGACTAAATTTTTAGTTGTAGATAAATTTTGTCACTACTATATTTTATTTAGTGATTAAAATATATAGTCGCCAATTCTTTTTTCCATTATTAGCGACAAATTAATTTTGTAGCCAAACATCTAATTGACTCCTTTAGCTAGCGACCAAACTTTTTTGTAGGCAAAAGATTGCAGCCTTTTTTGGTAACTAAATGTTTAGTCGTAAAAAAAATCGACGGTTTTTTTGACGACTAAATTTTTTGTAGGCAAAAACTTCAACTTTTTTAGGCTACTAAATATTTAGTTACCAAATAAAATTTATTTTTCATCTTTTTTCTTTTTTTACTACAAACTATTTAGTCACCAAAAATGTTTTCTTTCTTTTGGCTACCAAATATTTAGTTGCGAAAAAGCCTTGATTTCCTTTTGGCTACCAATTGGTTAGTCGCCAACAACTTCACTTATTTTTGGCTACTTAATGTTTAGTCGTCAAAAACTTTCTTTAGTGTTTTTATTTTTATTTTTTTTATATTAATTTCTCCACAACTTGTATTTATTCTGTGCAACCTGTACCTTGTATATAAACAAAATAATAACAATCCAAGAAAATTTAACTTTTAACGTCAAATTCGAAATATAATAGAAATTCCATACAAATCAAACATAATCCAACTTAAAATAATAATTCTATACAAAACAGAGGATTATACAAAAATCATGTCTCCCGTACACAAAAAAAAAGAAATATCCACAATGCCATGTCAAATGGTAATCTATACCACGCCAAAAGTAATATGTTGTATGCCAAAAGTAATTTGTACCGCGCCAATAATTATATGTACGAACAATAGTAATCTAAAAAAAAAACAAAGAACAACTTAATAACGGATTATAAAAAAATAATGTCCTCCGCACACAAATAAGGAATATCCACATTTCCACGCCAAAAACCATATGTAAAAATAAAATAAACCATTAGTATTGATTGAATAACGTCATCATTTCAAATTATAAAAGAAAATTATATAAAACTCGAATGTATATAATCTTTTCAAAATTGTATAATTATAGTCGTAATCATATGTTGCATGTCCGGACAAGTTTCTCCCAAGTTTTCCCCTCCCGAAATGCAATTTTTCAATTAAGTTTGAGGCATTTTCAGCTCTAATTCCCAACGTATATGTCCTATTCATAGGCCATATGTCCCCATATGTTCTATTAGGCACGAGGAAGCTACCTGCGCAATCCCCATAGTGGTTCGAGATTGTTTTGCATTTTCGGCCCCCCCAATGCACTTTTTTGACTAAATTTAAGGCCTTTTTTACTCTAACTCTCAACATACGTGTCCTAATTACATCCCATATGTCCCAACAGGTCGTACTTGTCACGAGCAAGCTGTTGGTGACATCCCTAGAGTGGTTTAGGCACTGTTTCATATTTTTGCCCCCCCAACGCCCTTTTTCAACTAAGTTTAAAGCGTTTTCAACTCTAACCCCCAGCCTATATGTCCTAATTACATGTCGTCTATCTCCACAGGTCGTATTTATCACAAGCAAGCTTCTTGTGACATCCCCAGAGTGGTTCGCATGCTGTTTTACATTTTTGCCCATCGGACGCCCTTTTTCGACAAGGTTTAAGGCGTTTTTTACTCTAACTTCCAACCTGAGTGTCCTAATTACATATCTTTTGTTCCCATAGGTCGTATTTGTCACGATCAATCTTCTCGTGACATCCCCAGAGTGGTTTAGGGGTTGTTTCGCATTTTCACCCCCGAACGCCCTTTTTCGATGAAGTTTAAGGCATATTTTACTCTAACTTTCAACCTACACGTCCTAATTACATGCCGTGTATCTCCATACGCGTATTTTATTGTATAAGCCAACCTTAACGAAGTAAATATATGAAATTTTATTACAAAAAATGGATGATTATTATTGAAATTATATTTGTCATCCATTATTTTAAAACAAATATGATTCGAACATATAGCTACTAATGTCCAATCATCTTGATTTTTTGCATGAATATTCTACTCAGCAAGTCCAAAGTATGTCTCTAAATAATGAAAAGAAATTTAAATAAGCATAAAATATCACCATTGTTAACAAAAATAGACAAAATAGAACATATTCAAAAGAGAAAACAAAAAAACAATATACTTCTAGAGAACCTTATAAATTCCAGCAATTATAGGGGCAACAACATGTACTGCATTAGGTGAAGCATTTTATAGAATACAAAGTATACATATTGCATATAGAGACACACACATAACCCAAAAAAAAAAATGATTATACCCAAATAAACAAAATACACTGAATCAAATTCTCAAACTGTGGATTTAGAGAGGAAATGAAAGAGAAAATGAGCCAAACCACAAACCATTATATTTGCTTTGAGAGAAGTGTGTACAAAGTGTCTACGTGTAAAGGTCTTAAGACAAAGCTTTGAGTTACGAACGTAGTGAAAACTACAATTAAGAACGAGAACAAAAATAGAAAAACCCACTATGAAATTTGGGACCTTACGTAGCATAATTGAGAAGAAAAAAAAAATTGAAACTCATTATCAAGCAACCATGGAGATTATAAATTAATTGAGACAATATATAGGCACTCTTTAAAGAAACCATTGAGACTCAATAAAGAAAACATATTGTAACTCAATAAAGAAACCATTGACACTTTGAAGAGATAACTCATTTAGGTGCATTAGCACTAACCACCGAATTCAACGACCCTCAAAAATCTATAATATTTTTCACAAACCCCAATTAGTATATCAACACCACAAAAATTAAAAATATATATATAAATAATTCGTTTAGCAATTGATTGTTGGTTCATAAAAAGCCAGAGAATTTAGTA